GGTCGGGCTTGGGAAACTTGAGAAGAGTGATTCACGGTGAGAGTATCTACACCCAGCAGCTTGACTCGCTAACCATGTTCATATGTACCTTTCCCATTATCACGGCCACAGCTACTCCATCAATGCCCGTAAATGGGGGTTTCGATTCCTTGTCCGACTTTGCTTCATCCCCGAGCGCGATAGATCAACACCGCCGCTGCCCTAGCCAAAATGAGCTCCGCCAAAGCATCAGTCAACCGGCCAGAAACAGTCAGTATCGAATACCCTCTCCAGGCGGCTATCACCTGTGCAGTTGATGATTGACGGGATTGTGGATAGGAAGACGGATGAAAACTGGCGAGCTTGTTGCACCATTCTGGGACAAACTGGCAGGGATGGCCAGAGTGATACCTCGGACACGCTACAGATTACCTAGGTCAGCACATCCCTATACCTCTCGGAGGGTCTTGGAGGCCTGGGCTCGCCCAGAAGCCCCGCGAACGATATGTAATAATACTACTATTCACCCTGTGCATAGTTGGACTAACTCCTATTAGTGGCCTGGGCCCGTGTCTCGTGCATCTCCCAAGGACATCGACTCCCAGCGCTACTTATCGCACCGTAAATGACGATGACGGTGTGAACAACAAGCAGAGCTCTTGATTCTTGTCCTCTATAGACGATGGAGTCCTTGACAGTACAAAATACAAGGGGCTCCCAATTTTCTATAGTAGTTTCTTTGATTATAGATTATCCCCAGACTGAGTTTTCGAAAGATTTCTAGATCAAGGCTCACGTTTATATAACAAGTCCCGAGTGATACAGCATTACAGCTCAGGCAATCAATATAGCTTAAAAAAATGATAACAAGTAACGTTCCTTCCTGAGACACAGACAAAGAAAGATAATAGAAAGTCTATAGAAGTTTTCATCGCAGCAAGCCTGTCCAGCCAGTGTCGACATACACTTATGTTTTTATTCAATGGAGCCTTCAGCAATCGTTCATACTGGTCCTCGGGGCAGATATGTATGAAGAGGGCGTGAGACCTGCGCCAAAGATCACCGAACGGAATATAGGAGCGATGGTCTCTACCCCATCCATATATTAGTTGCGCTGCGATCTTATAGCTGTCTGCGATAATATCCCCGGCGAGGTCGATATGATATGTTTTGAAGAGGAATTAAAACCCGGGTCTAATATCTCTTGCGATTCAGATATATGTGCTTTATCTTTAGCAAGTTTTAATCGAGCTAGCTCTTCTTCAAGAAGTCCTATTCTTTGAAAATTGTCATCATGCGCGTCCCAAAGCAAATGCTGGCCAAGCAAAATAAGACATGGCATCAGCCATATCGGTGGTCGTTGGAGCGGCATTCTGGAAACAGTGATAAGAAAGAGATAATAGCCTTCTAAAGCTTCAGAAGAGTGAGCAGGAGTATTTTGAGAGAGATAAAATCTAATAGAGGTATTGTAGAACAAGTGTTGGATAGTTGAAAACTATCGCTACAAAGTTTGCGGGAGATGGATTTATAATTCGAGTCATTCATATCGCATACCAGCGTAATGGTGATGCCAGAATGAAGGCAAGGCAACCACCCATTCACATAGCGATGCAGCCTGTAGCAGCGCTTCGGACAGTTTGAACAGGCCCCTGCCGTGCTCAACAGACATGACATTGGCATGAAATCTCGTGATCTCTAGAGAGTCACGGATGCTCTTGCTGGGAAGCAGATGAGATGAACTCATTAGCTTAGGTGAGAAACAAGGAAAAGCCCAGAAGTTGCATACACAGCCGCCTGGAACTTCACTTCATCAAGACAGACCACACCTGTCTTGTAGTAAAAATATTTAGTTATTTATCTTTCTGGAAATATTCCACAAATATTATTTGTATTCTTGTTGACAGTAACACTGCCCGATTGGGTCATCTCCCGGAGTGAGCCCAGAGTAAGCTAAATTAGGTTAAGCACGCTCTCAGAGTGAGCCTAGAGTAGCCTAAATTAATTATCCCACCACTTAATCATGCTTACCGCTTTTAAGCTTCTACAAAAATCTCGCTCTCTCCCCCAACCTATTTAATACTTTTTACCCATATCCAGACCCTCTGTACCTGTTATCTAGTATACTTAACCAGTGAGACTCTCTTGTATTGGGACAGAATAAAGAGACTCAATTTATTAGCTCCCTTCACGACTATCGCAGCGTTGCGGCCAGCAATCCTTCCTCTGGCAACCCTGCGGATCCCACCCACAGTGGTAAATAGTCTAAATTGCGCAGAGCTTCTCAAGGAGGATGAAGGCCTTATGAGTTCTCTGTTTACCTTCAACTAGAGGGTATCGTACGTCCGCATCTTGAAATGAAGTAAATTTCTCAACATACCTCTTATTGTAACTATGTAAACTTATATAGCCCCACAGAGATATCTTTCCCTAGTCTATCATGACAAAAGTAGAAGAACAGTATTATTCATAAGATTCAAATATAAGTTAGAAGAGTAGCTATTATACGGCACATATATTATGGCAGAACTATGCCTGTGTAGAGAGTGGCATATCCTCGCACTCACCGGATCGGGAAAGTTTACTCATTATCCTCATCTATCCTCCCCATTCGCCACTCTATGCCCGTATTATACAAGTAAAGAGATGCGGCCCTCCTTACACCCCAGTAACCTGGGGAATCAGGGGCTGATTCTGGTTCTTCGCCCGCTGGTTGGCCCAATTTTGATATTCGCGCGTGTACCCGCCATACCGTGTATGTGATAATCTATCCACTCGGCTACTCCTACTTTTCTCCCGCTTTATTTCTACTCCAATAAGATTATCAATTCATAATTAAACTATTTGATTTATTATATACTAACCTTCCCTAGCCTACGGTTAACCGCGGTTAAGAGATTGATTAACCTTAGCCTAACTATACCTAGGTCAGTTAAGGAATTTTATACCTTAACCTAACCGGCCTCGGTTAGGTTAGGTTAGGTTATGCCACTCTACAGCGAACTGGTTTAGGACTTGATGACGAAGCCCCAGGCGTAACACTTGGCTAGATATAACTTATCTTAATAACCAGAATCTATTAGTAATTAATAACAATAACAATAATAATACAGTATATATCAAAAAATCGGGCGTCAGGTGATCAGATACGATACAAGACGCGGGGCTAGGCGTCCTTGCCATCAGCCTTGCCTTTTGAATTCATGAAGGGAAGTACTACGACCTGGGGGCAAGGATATACTAATTCCTACAACTAATCAGCTGAACAAGCTGTGTCGCATTCACCAATGGCGGCTCTAAGTCACCACCCACCTAAAGTGTGGTAGTGCCTACGCCTTTTGCTGGTGTCCACTCGTGGTTGTGATTTTGCCGTCACGCCCAATCTCTTGCTCACCCTCGCCCCCATTCCAACAGAGCCATCTTTAGCCTCTTGTTGTAGTCTCCTCTCGCTTGTTTTTTTCGCCTTGTATTTTCCCTACTACTTTCCGAGTGCCTTCTAAAAGACCAGACAGAGAAAGAGAACTCTTCTTGACACAGCGTTTCCTACGTTCTAGTACTCTCAAAATGAACCGAACATCTGACATTGGAGGCCGCTCTTCTTGTGAAAAGCCAGGCCAAACGGCACCCGTCTGGTTTTTAGAGCGTTGTCGTCCAGAGGCAGGTGCTTCCCTTACTCTACCAATAATATGACCTGCTCTAAATCCCGGTAGATTTCCTGCGCGGCGCCAAACAATCATACTCGCAAGGGCCAACTTCTAGAACATGAGGTCAGAGACTGGCTAGAAGAGAATGTATGGATCTAATCTATACATATACCGACATGTATTATTTTAACCTGCTCTACAGTCAACAGTCGACCCAGCGGAGGAAAAGTATGGGGGAATACGCCTACTGTAAGTCATGATCTGAGCTATTCTTGGCCCTATGGCTCAGACACAGTCAGCATGACCTCTCCTGCCGCTCATGACAGTCGAGCCAAATATCCGGATGGAATATTTGTAGATGAATTTGGGGGTGTTATAAACGGAACCGCAACAGATGGATTAGGCCTTGAAGCTGAGACTATTCAGTACCTGTCCAAACTCCTCAACCTCCCGTGGCCACTGACAACTCTGACCGGGTATTCGTCTGGACTTTTTACCAAATTTGAACACGAGAATAAGAACGGGGTGCTGGAAGGAGAAGGTATGATAACTTCACCATGGTATGGCTGTCTTTTTGGTTCTAGCTAGGACAGGGATTGTGATCCAAACACCACACTCCACGCCGATCAAGTGTTTGCTAGCGCTCTTCCACAACACTAAAAGCAATCTCACAACATGCTTTTTGTACTCTGCTTTCCCTATCCACCTTTTTCAGTTTCGAGATTTACTTCCTAAGCTGCTCGGGAAGTCCAACCAACCGATGATTGTCTTTCCCGTGGTTTTCCTCAAAGTGTACAACGAATGCATTGAAGGCTACCGAAAAATCCAAGAGTGGAACATTGCGTCTCTCGAGGAAGGGATTGGTCTGACAGACTATTACCAGTACAAGTCGAGTAGTACCGGAAAGCCAAGAGACAGGATCAAAATGATTAACGGCATCTCATATGATCTTTCACGGTTTGAACTGTTCATTGACTTTGAATGCAGGCTCTATGGCTTTCTTACCGACCTATGCAGCTCGTCAGGATCACGGTTCGACTTATCCAGAGAGCCAAACACCGGCGAGAAACTTAGAGAATGGCTTCAGCTCATAGATTGTGTGGCTCTAAGCCATAAACAAGCGGCGAGCTCCTATCGACAGAGGGTTCAAGCCCAGAACACGGTTGTAAGTGCCTAAATTACATGTTATGGATGAACTATCATGTGGTAATCTTTATTTTTATATATAGTTATATAGCCTGGTATCCCAAGCCGAGAGCCGTTTGAACTACCAGGTTGCCGCATCCACAAAGCAGGATAGTTCGGATATGAGAGCTGTTGCTCTGCTTACTATGCTCTTTCTTCCTGGGACTTTTGTCGCGGTATGACAGCATGTTGATCGATCTCGCATAAATACCGTTGGCAACTGACACTGCTCAGACCTTCTTTAGTGCCGGTCTAGTTACGTCCAATTCCGGCAGTATTCCTATGGCGAACAAATATCTATGGATATACTGGGTGATAACTGTTCCCCTCACTATTATCGTCGTTCTAATCTGGAAGTGCTGGTCAAGAAAGCAGACTGGACGGGCAAATAACTTGCTTTGTAATGTTAATACACCTGACCTACCTTTATAATCGTCGTCTTCTGGTGCGAAGGCCATTTGACGACTGAATATACCACTAATCACCTTGATCGTTTGCTTCTATATAACAACTAGTGAGAAGTTATATGCAAGCTAGGTTGAGTCATGGTGCTTTCTAGGATTAAGATTCTGCGGCGATACTTGGCAAGTACAGGTGAATAAACAACAACCAGCTACCTAAATACTTTTTGCCGGAGAATTGGTTGTCAAATTCATGTCTTCAAATAGCTCAGGCCCTAACAGATGACAAGTTAATGGTTGGCGGCTACTATATTTCAAGATACCGTGTATGATATCGACAAAATTACTGCATAAGAAGATGTCCAGATTTACCCCTCATTTCCCCGCTCGCAACCCCAATTCTAGTCTCCAACCTTGCATCTGCACTGGAAAAGCTCCACTAACCTCCTACAGTAACCCTTTGGCTTCATTCCTCTAGTGCTTGAGTGGTTCTAGCTTCTGTAGGCTTTGTTTCCTGCAGGGTTCGCACCTTATTTCGTGGTATATCCGTCCCCTGACGGCCTCCACCACTTATCCCTCCCGCACCAGCGGTCTTTAAAGTCCAGTCCGCGCGCGGTCCTAGGTGCATTCGTGCTTGCTACCGTTGGAAAATCCGAAGCGGGATTACAGTTTTCTTCTCTAGCCCATCCGTGATCGGCATGCCAGCGGATCCCAAGCGCGAGAGGCTGCGTACCCGACATGCCTGCCTCAACTGCAGGTCGGTCTTGCCCTCACCTACAACAGATCTCACTCTGATCTTGAGATCTCACATGTAATAGGAAGAAGAAGACCCGGTGTCCTGGTGAGAAGCCAGCCTGTTCAACATGTGTCCGGCTTAAACAGTCATGTACCTATATGGCCGCGGCTACGCAGCAATCTGTATGGAGAAACCCGCATACCCTGTTGTAAGGGATTCTTCGTTGACCCCGTCAACAGGACCGATTGACACACCTTGAAAAAAAGATAGATCTAATTTTAAACGGTGGCGAGCGGCGAATCCCTTTTGAGCAGCTTGATCAAGATGCCTTCGTCGCACCACCGGCCTCTTCTAAGGTGCCGCAAAACGACAAGTCTAATGAGACCACGCCTCGCTACAGTCAAACAAATAGGTACCAATCACAGTCTGGTCCAAGCTATGCCATGAAAGGCATACCCTCAGTCGAATTGCAGCAAGAAAAACTGGAGATTCCTCAGTCCACCATCGCCAAGGCGGTCGACCTTTACTTCGAACTCTTTCATAGACAGCCTATATGGTGCTTCGATCGCCAAGACCTTGAAAGCTACTCTGAGATTCCTTCAGAGATTGTCTGGAGCACCTTGGAACTTACGTCACGATTCTCACGACAGCGTGACCAGCCAGGCTATGGCGATAGTGCTAGGCGCTCTATTATGCATCGAATTACAAATGGCACAGTGGAGCTCGAAACGATTGAAAGCCTTTGTTTACTTTCATACTCAGCATTTATAGGTATGGATCTGCTCGCTCATTGTTAGTTTCAGATTCTAATACCAAGAAGATGGCGATTGGGGTCAGGGTCAATTTTACCTTGGCCTTGGGTTTCAGCTTTGCCGCTCTGCCAGGATAGATCGCGAGCTGACATCTCCTGTTGAAAATCCTCTCGCCGCCCAGCGCAAGAAGAAACTTCTCTGGAGCCTTCAATCGTTGGAGCAATTTTTCTCGGAATCGGAAGGTATTCTGGGAACCGCACCTGAGGTTTGGCGCTCATTCTATGTTTCGACCAGTGCGGATTCGGCATTTCCCCGCGATCCTGGGTCATCCAACTCATCTGATATCGGAATCTGGACTTATGCTGCATATTTCGGATGGGTGTGGAGTAGGGTCAGAGAATATGTCTCGGAATGTTTCCATAATCAGATGACCGAACCCTGGCGACTCGATTCAATGTATGCCAAAGTACTTGCCGATATGACCGAAATCGAGAACCAGGTTCCCTGGTGTCATCGATACGATTCTGCAAAGTTTTATGAGCGTCGAGCAGACGAGATCAGTCTCAACAGAGACTACTGGATACCGTGGATAAAGTTACAGTTCACATGGCACACGAGTTTGATCGTGTTAAATCACCCATTTCTCTACATTATGGCGTCACAGCATCAGCCTAACCTGGCGATCCCAAACACCTTCTGGAGGAAGTCCTCCGAGCTGGTCCTACTGCATGCCACATGGATCGTTCGTATGATTGACATGACTCTAGAAAAACATATCAAGCTCGTTGACCCTTTTTATGCGCACGCGGCCGCAATCGCAGCTACAGTACATCTCTACTTTTGCTGCGCCGCCGATCCCCGACTGAAACAAAAGTCCAAAACAGACTTTGTGAAGTGCAAAACATTCTTGAAGAGGTTTGCATGGTTTTCCCCTGCCTGTGAAGCCCTGGTACGTTTTTATCACATTGGATAGAGCGCAACACCAATACTAACAGCTCAGCTTCAATCTCTGGACAAAATAACAGAAATAGCATCTGGCTCAGATCGCATGGATGATGACTGGGCACCAACCAGGATCTATCTCAGCATCCCTTTGATGTGGGGTATTTTACAGTTCAATGTCTCACCCTCACCGAACATGTCCTCCAAACCAACGGCCCTATTTCACTCCTCTCTTACTTCCACCCCAGCTAGCAAAGGAACAGAGCATAGCCAGACCCTTGAGATCAGTGTTACAACATCACCGCCACAAGTGATGGTTGACCCTGCCACAGGGCACAATGCCAGTCTGCCGCCTTATATGATCAATGTATCTTCATCACAAGATTCTCCGAACGGCACTCCAATGCGAGACATTCTGGTTCCACCTGCAGATAGTCTCATGTTCAATACTCCGTGGCTATGGGCGCATCTTTCCCAATTTGGTGATATGGACGCTGCAGCCGGCTTCGAGCCAGACCCTGCCGTTGGTGATGGATTTTCTACCTGGTGGAATTTTGGAAATTTTTAAAAGTACCTTTACATGTTCATGCTACAGTGATTTATGATTCATGTGTCCGGCAGCCATTGGAAGACTTATCGCTGCGTCGAGAAATTGGGTAGACTTCCCCACGCATCAAATCTCTGATGGCATGAGCAAGCCATTCAGCCGTTGGTCCGACACTTGGCCTTTGGTTCCGTGGCGGGAAAACAACTTCTCTGTCTAGAAACCAACAGCCTCCCTGTGCCCAGCGATTTTTGGGAGTCCTGCCATGACAATCTTTGCTGAACCTGGTATTGAATCCCATGGACCAGCTGGTCTAACTGTTTCGGTGGAAATGCCGACCACATGAACGGTCGGGATCTGACTACCTTATTTGGAGAATACCTTATCATGCCATGAGTTTGGAAATAGGAGCAGACTGCAGATGCTGTCTATTTATGGCTTATCTAGGCTGTCTTAGTAGCTACATCCCTCCCAGTGCACTAACCTATTGGTCATCCAAACTTCTGCTATTGTCGCGCACATGAACCAAAAGAAATCTTTACTCGACAAGGGCCTAGTATAATGCTGTCAGGATACTACTAGTAGCTACTAGTGAATAGTTAAATCTCCCATTCTGTTAATAAGGCTGAACAAAAGAAGAATAGATATCAATAGACAAGAATCACGCTAGCCTGAGCTAATCTCCTGCGAAGCCCTCATAATTTCCTTAATTTCCTATGTCGAGGGAGGAAATTACCCAGATGAGTTCACTTCTCCAGTCACTTGGGCTCAACCGCCACCGGAACCTCAAGTCCAGCAGGCCAAATCTGCTTTCCTGCATCTTTCTCCCGATCAAAGTGCTCATACAGAAGGTCACGTACAACAGATTGGAAATATAGCGGTCCCTTCTCCATTCTGGGATGAAGCAGACCATTGACAAAGACACCCCTCCCGATATTCTTCTGTGCCTCAGTACAGAGATATTTATCTTCACTCATAATCCGCTTATACATCTCATTGATCAACTGGAAATCCTCCTCGCTGGAGTTTTTATTCCGGTACACCTCGTAGCGCATCTCGCAGGTGGTAGGCGAGGTGGGGACAAATCGTTGCATGAAGAAGAAATGCGGCCTATTCCGATAGCCCTCACTTAACGTTAACAATATGACATGGCAAATAGCATGGTGAACACTGACGTTACCGTCATGGACGCGTTGGGGAAATAGTAGGTGCTGGCGATCTTCAGGCCCCGTTCGATCTGGTCTGGTTTGGTGTTGGCAACGTGAACGATAGACCCGTCCACGGTGTCAACCGAATAGGCTTCGAGATCGGCTATCGCTTGCGCGTCAGGATGTGCTGTCGGGCAGTGGTAACACCTATCACACGCAGTTAGGGCTTTGAAAGCTTTCCATATCTGCTGAGACCAGGTCTAGAAGAATATGTCAGGGACGGTACTCATTATAGTTATCTGCAAGAATCTTCCAGTTATAAGGACCATCCATCCCCCAGACGTGATCAAAAATGTAGTCCTCGAAGTTGAAATCCTTGAAGCGAGGCTGCAGGTCGATTCCTTTAAAATCCTTCTCCCACGGAATCTCAGGCTGCTTGCCAGCATCCATGTTGACCCAGACAAATCCATTCGCATCCAGATGGACGTGGAAAGTTCTGAATTTGGTGTCCTCAAGTCGCTCCGAGATTAGGGTCTGCGCGAGCTCGTCGGTGAAATCATGAGACCAGATATCATGGAATGCCTGTATGTGTCGACCATGGCCTCGGATGAGAATGAAGGGATATCCCGCGCTATTGTAGCGAGACCAACTACCAGTGCTTGGGAGCCGCAGTATGTGCGTGGTGAGCAACCACCTCTTGGAGAAAATGGCCCGTCGCTCGAGCTCGTACAGCTCTAGTGATGTGTACCATACAGCGGGAAGAGCTCTTACTGCGCTCTTCTCCGGAGACACTGGGCATATGCTGTCATTTGTGGTTGCTTTGACACCGAGGAAATTCTTCAATACAGAGGCCATCGTGTATATGATAAGGCTTGTTGACCCAAGATTGGAATAAGAAGGCGAAGGGTTTACATGCAAAACTGTGAAGAAGAAGAACTTGCTCGTGTAACGAACTCGATATCATTTCCCTCCTGTACTATGCAGGTTTATATATCTACAAGAAAGTGGACATAGTTATCCGCTGCCGGTGACACCCCCCTTGAAAACTAGTAGGATCACCGATCACAAGATCGGAGTGAACTAAACAACTGACTGCACTGTTGTTCATGGCTGGCTTGGAAGTGCCTTGAATCAGCCACATCCAAGAATACCGGCTCACGGCTCAAGCGGCCGAATCTAGGGATGCCGCCAGGTTTATCGGCTCCTCTACCGATGAGAATCAAGAGTATTGCTGCTTATTATGGCCAATAATGGGCCTCTTATCCTCGCAATATCCAACGTTCACGGAGATGACCACGTGAGCGGGCCGGACGCCGTGCCACTATGGCATTGTGATAGCCTGCATACATTGGGACTCATTCAGGAATTTGCTATTGCCTAGTGATAAGAGGATATGGAACGGTTCGATGTCGCAGTCGTTGGAAGTGCTGCAGCTTACCAGGCCATCCTCAAATCAATCTGGTTTTCTACGGGCTTAATTCTGTATATGATGCTCTACATTTTCCTAATTGAGCCCCAGTTTACCGCATATACGTAATAAGGTGACAGATTTATCAAGGCTTATATGGTAGTAGCGCAGCAGGAATGTTATAGAGGATGCTAATATGCCAATGGGATGAGTTGAAGTGCTTAGGAAACGCCCGCTGTAAGCCCTGAAACAGCGGAGATCAAGTATGAGAATAGTAAATAAATATGAGATCATCGATTGAGTGGACTCCCTCAGTAAATTGAAATCAATTTCATGGATTATTGCCTTATGGCGCGGTTGAACTTTGGCTTCATTCTCACCAAGATCGATCGATAGCACAGCGCCCAGCCATTAAGAATACATGCAGCTGTGGGCTCAGATCTAAAATGTCATGGATATTCTCTTTTGAATTGGCCTTAAAACTTTAAAACAAAGGCAGGGAAGAAGAGCGAGGTGTGACGAATAAAAGTTTACAATATTCCGAAGCGTCATACCAAATTTTGTAAACGTCATGATTTTCCGAACCATATGCAGCCACCTATACTTACTATAGACTCGGTTCTATATGGTCTCTTATTCAAGATACACCTTTTCAGCCCTCCGTTTCTGTTGTATTGTGTACATTATTTCAAGGGAGCCCAGTTGCGGCAACCATTTAATATTGTTTATTTAAGACTTTCTTGGATTACATGGCTGGATCATCTTTCTCCAGCAGCTTCTACGGCTTAGGTTTCCAAGAGTCGTCACTTAAACACTGTCAAGTCCCCACAAGGCGACCGTAACTGATTACCTTTCACGGTTTGTCCACGTCTCATCGCTGCGAACAGATAGGATAGCACACACTCAACCATGGTTCTGGAGCCGAGCCTCCGGGACGTCATAACGTCGCTCTGGAATATTGTATTCGAGCTTAATTGGTCGAACCACTGATTGATAGGATCCTCCCTCTGTCTATTTACACTGGTGCTGTCTCATACACTCTTCTAGACTGCAAAGCAATGGAAGATCTGGCCTATATAAACTAAGCTGTATACCCGTTGATTCCAGCCAATACCAACCTAAGGCGCTCTACAGGAAATACACAGCCCTTGAGAGCTTGAAGCTAGCAGCCGAACATGTAAGCTTCCATAGTACACACTATGCTCACCACTAAATCTTTAGACAGCCAACATGCTTCTTCGGTCTCTGGTTCTCATCAGCCTAACCGCCTTGGTTTCAGCACAATGCAAGTAGCCAACCACGCCGATAAATTATCATAGTAATAAATAACTGCTAACATCCTGAGATATAGACGAAATGCCTTGCGGAAGTGCTAAAAGCTGCATCTCGCTTTGTCCTAATCAAGACTTCTTCCCTATGATCGACTCATGCGACACTGATAGCGACGGAAAGGTTGACTGCTATGTCAACTTCTATTGTGCTTAGACTAGCGGTCGCCTAATGGACAAATAATTCCAATCTCGTATTCAGCATAATCTAGGCGGTGCTATACATTTCTAGGCTTTCCGATATTCTATACCCTTTATTGATCAAAAAAATAGACTTGGCCCTATCAATTCTTTTTAAGTTAAGCTATTTGATCATAGTTAGCTTAGGAGGTAGCCCAACTAAGGAAGCACTGTTTGTTTAATGGTAAGTTGATTAGGGTTTATTGAGCACCCACCAGTCAATGATGTATCAGAACTAAACAACACACCAGGTTGATCGCTGATAGGTTATGGCCGCCTTTTTGCATATGGTACTTTTTCGGCGCTTGTCCTCCATCAGGCAAAAGATTCTATCTTGAAGTGATTGTTCACTTCTTTAGAACGCTCGACAGACACAGGTGTTACTGTTTGGTTGTGCGATATCCGCATTACTTAGGGCACTTCATTGCCTACTGGACTAACACTTCTCTCTCCTGATATACTTTGCTGTGGGTTCAGTGGCGCACTGGGACTAGCTCCTTCTCAAATCCTGCAATATAACTAGCGGGTTGATTTAATCAATAAAGCCAATGGTCGGATCGCTCCTGTTCCTGGAGGCTAACTGCATTCAGGGCAGCTAAGCAACAGCATTTCACGACGATCTCTCATATCCACTAATGGACGAGGCGTATTTCAAAACTCGTTGGGGGCCAAACTGCCCAAGCCCTTATTTTAAAATTGGCTTCTGCCCCAGAGTTCTCCACAAGCAACCTTGGCACTTTGCTCCAGAGAGCAAAGCGTACAGTCATGTCAGAAACCGCTAGACTCGCCAAAAGTTTCAAGCTGAATGGTATATACATAACTCAGAAGGAGGGGTCGCAAGACGGCAAAACGAGTCAAAGTTCTGGCTGGCAGCCTCTCTATCTCCGGCGACGAATCTTAGGCATATTCGTGGTTACATTCTGTGGGATAATTGCAGTCCTCGAGGTGCTCAATCATATCTCGCAAGTCAATTATGGTATTGCTTCATCTATTGAAGGTCGCCACTACCTGTGGACCTATGGCCCTACCGCTATCCTTACCGTGGTTGCTGCTCTCTGGTCCCGGGTTGAATTCCAGGTAAAACAACACGCCCCATGGCAATCACTGCAAGAGAAGCCGGAGGTAGCAGAGAAAAGTATTCTCCTGGACTATATTACCCCAATGCAGCCATTTACGGTGATCAAGGCACTCCGAAACAGACACTTCGCAGTGGCGGCCGGGGCCACCGGTTCTATACTTCTTACTCTTCTCATCATCTTCTCTACTGGCTTGTTTTCGCTGCAAGAAGTTGGTGTGCAGAAGGACAATGTTCCAATTTTGCTGTATGATTATTTCAATGGTGAAAACCCTACACTCGATGCTGAAGGAGCGACGCCATTCGATACGCTGAATAGTGTCCTTTTCGATAACGGAAGCTATCCCGAAGGAACTACGGCCAATCTTGCCTTTCAGCGATTTTCAGCTCCAAATATTTCTTCGAATGCGATTGTGACCGCCCAAATCGACGGCATGGAGGCGCAACTGGGCTGCGAACCTGCTACTATAACTATTACGAAATGGGAAGTGGATGGAGTAATGGCTGCGGACGGCGAGTTCACTATCACTCAGCAGAATATGACCAACGAGATTTCCAGCCCTTCTTGCAGGATTGAAAACTTTGCTATTGATGGCGGATATGGAGCATACTTTCCCTATGTGGGAATGTTTGAACAGGGCCAATGTGTAGGCTCGAAGGGAACTGACGGCACGCGCGTTGTGGTTACTATTGCTAAGATACGTGAGAACGTGGTGTTTTCGAATGACACTTATGACGAGTATACTCGTGGGTATAATCGGAAAAGTGACATCGTTCTTGATCACTCGGTCCAGTTGATCTGCAAACCAACATATTCTCTCCTCGAGGTGAATGCTACAACCAATGCATCCGTGTCTCTGTCAAACGTTCAGATCGAAGAGACAAGATCGATGAACTCCACCTTCCCAGGCCTGGCGGCATGGGATATTGCGAATAGTGTTCTTAGTGGTCCGAAAGGCCATACCATTGGGAGACCAATTGAAGATAACAACCCCTTCGCTGCCCCCGACAAAATGAGTGTTGATTACTCGCTACAAATCGGTGCGTGGCTTGCAGGATCTACCGGCAACGTTGAACTTCTTTTCCAAGATGGTGTGCTTAATCATGTGGCTTCTGCCTACTATCGCGCAATGGCTGCCCAGTATATGAACAATGGGCTCGCTCGACAACGGTCCTCGACAACAACTGGTTCGGCTGTCATCCATGAGAACCGTGTCATCATGGCAGAGCTGCCACTTCGTGCGATGGAAGTCTGCTTGGCAATAGGTATTCTGTTGACCCTTGTTATAGTCCTTTTGGCTTCGCCCACGGCAACAGCATCGACTCCTTGGAACCCGAATTCTATTTCAGCAATTGCGGCAATTGTATCCAACAGCAAAGCTCTCCGTCAGTATCTCAGTGGGACTAGTGCATCACCATTATATATTCTTGAAGATCGTCTTAAAAAGAGTCACTATTTCTCACGGACCTCTGCAGAAGGGTTCTCTATCGAGACCGTGGACAACGAACAGATTTATAACGAACAGAGTGATATTTTCACTACTGACAAACGAAACAGCCCTAGTTCCAGCGCCGATTCGAAACTATTCCCCAGTTTCTTCTTTCGCGTCGCCATCTTTGTCGCTGTGGCATCAATTATTGTGGTACTCGAGGTTCTTCTGCATATATCTGAGACGCAGGATGGGCTTGCAGATGTCACCACTAATAAATATGTGCATTATTCCTGGACACTTCTTCCGTCGCTGTTGATGGAGCTCATCGGCCTTTCTTTCGGGAGCATGAGCTTCAATAGCCGAATCCTGGCACCATATGCCCACCTGAAACGGCCCTCTGGTGCAGTTTTCCAAAACTGTATGACACTCAACTTCCTAGATTCCCTGAGTGTGGCGACTCATATCCGTTCGATCCGTACCAGGCACTTTGCTGT